GACCACTAGAAGTCGCCGCGGCAACGGCGTCACCCGCGTGTCACGGCCGTGACGTCATCCGCGGTGCGTGACGTAACCCGAGGAGCGCCCTGGCGCCCGCGCCGGGGGAGGCTGCCTTCGCGCGCTGCCCGGCGGCGCTCGGCGGTTTCCTCCGCACGGCGGTTTCCATGGCTTCGGTTTCCTCCGCGAGTCTCCCGTCGGTCCTCAGCCGGCTCGGGAGCTGGGGCTCAGCGGCAGCCCGCGCGGTGCGGAGCAGAAGTTGAAATGAGGGAGGGCGGGAGCGAGAGGGCCGGGGAAGCCCGGGCTACCTCAGCTATTTCCTGTGCAGCCGGCGGCTCTGTCATAAAAATAAGCCCTGAAACCCCAGGGTTGACACCGCCGGTAGGACTCGGTAGGGACACCCTGCGGCGCAGCCGGACGGTGCGAACGAGGCGGGCATCCCTCTCAGGAGAGGATCTGGCCTGTCACAGTGGATCTAAATCGAAGTCTGAAGGGTTCTTTTTTTTCGTGTTTTTTTTTCTCCCTTCCCCATCGTTGGGAATAAAATGTTCCCTTGTAGAATATTTTTTCGTTTTCCAGGTTCGTTCACTTAACCAATGTCCGTGATGATGGAGTGCCTGCCGTGGGCTAGGGCCTGCACGAGGCACGGAACACGCTAGACGCCTGCGACATCAGAACGGTCACCATTTTTGTTTTTGAAGAAAACCATTCGAAATATTTTAAAGACTTTTCGCGCCTTTCACAAGCAGAGCGCTCCGAGGGCATTCTCGGTGCACACTGGGCGCGAAAACCGAGAAGGAAGGAGAGGTGAATGCCTTTGGAGAGGCCCAGGGGCAGGATGGAACGAAAGGAACCCAGTTCCTTATTAAAAAGGCATTTATTTTAAAGGAAAGGGGGACCATTCCAGGCGGGGAGAGGGGGGGGCAATTTAAGGAAAGGAGAATTAGGAGTGACAAACAGTGGACGTTCCTGTGGCTCCTGAGGGTGGAAGTTAATCGCCAAAGGAACCTAAAGGTCAGCCGTGGGACGCTCTGAGTGGCCTCTGCGCTTTTGTTCTGTCCTTCCCACGCTTGGGGAAGCCACCAGGGACCTCCTTATTGTATTCAGGATGATTCAAGAGGTAGAAAGCTGCCCTACTGACCCTCTGGAGCAGGAGGTCTGCATTTTGATAGAGTCACCATGAGCCTGGGAGCTGACCCTTAAGTCCCAAGGTGAGTAGGTTGTGAGGCTGCTTGATTCCTCAGACTACTGATATCCCCGTGCATCGAAATATACAAAAATACAACCTATCGAATGAGCCGTGGTGTGTTTTGTTAGTATATTTGTGCTTTCTCTGCCAAGTAGGAAAGCCTCCTTGAGGGGCTAAATTTATATCCAAAGGTAGCTTGGAAAAGTAGAATAAATGAAGATGACCGGAAGGGTTAAATGTCATCAGGCCATAGTCTAAAGTGCCCCTCTTTACTATAAATAAAGACGTACTTCTAGGCAGGCTAAAATAGCACCACCGGCCAGTTTGAGCTCATCAGAAACACAACTGGAAGGTTTTTAAATTCTCTAAAAGTCGTATTTCGTTTTTTAAAATCAGCCTCTGAAAATATTACATCATTAAAACACTCATAATGTGAAAAGTCCTGAGGTTATTTTTCATTTGTTCCATTTTATTTATTTATTTATTTTAAATATGTCTTTATTGATTTCAGAGAGAGGAAAGGAGAGGGAGAGAGAGAGAGAAACATCAATAATGAGAGAGTCATTGATCGGCTGCCTCCTGCACACTCCCGACTGGGGATCAGCCCGTACCCCCGGCATGTGCCCTGACCCCGAATCGAACCCCGATGGCCTGGATCCTAGGTGAACGCTCAACCGCCAAGCCACGCCCAGCCAGGCTGTTCCATTTTAAATTATAGCCTTCCTTACCAGCAACAATCTGTAAATCATATTTTACACAGCTATTTCTTCACAGGATAGCTGATATCACCCATTTAATATTGCTTCTTGTTACTTTCCATTTATCCAACACTTTCTGAACTTATCTTCAAATTCTGGATATGTTTTATTTGATTTCCCTAGGCCATTCTAAAGCCCCCCAGTATTCAGATGGGAAAATAAAAAGAAAGCATGAGCTTTGGAGTCTGAAGATCAGGATTTTAGTGTCAGCATGCCACATTTTGGCAACATAATCTCAAAGTAGGTAAGCAGTAATCCCTGTTTTTTATTGTTTTAATCTATAATATGAGTGTGGTAGTAATGCCAGTGCAACCTACCTAACTGTATCGTTATGAGGATAAAATATAGTTTTGTGCTTTACAAAATACAAAGTTACCCTCTCATTCAGAATTCAGACACGGTGTAGAAGAGATGGTTTATCTCTGCTGTGTGATACCTTGGGAGCTCTCACCTGGGAAGACAGTGCCTGGGGGTGTCTGAACAGGTTGGGACTGGAATCATCTGGAGGCATATTTCCTCACATGTGTAGTGACTGAAGCTGGGACTTCACCTGGGGCAGTCAGCCAGAATACCTGAGCATACTCTGTTCTTGTGGCTTGAGCTTCCTTGTGGCACGTTTGCCTCCGGGTAGTCAGACTCCTTGCAAGGTGGCCGAAGGCTCCAAATGCTTGTGTTCCTGCAAGTAAGGTGAAAGCTGTATTGCATTTTATGACCTGGCCTCCAAAGTCACACAGCATCACTTCTGCTGCATTTTATTGGATGCAGGTAAGTCACAAAGTCCAGCCCAAATTCAAGGAGAGGGGCGTTAGATCCTACCTCTCAATGGAAGAAGTGTCAAAGCATTTACAGGTATGTTTAATTTACAGACAGGTGGTGTTTAGAGTAATGAACTGGCCACTCATTGTCACCTTCTCCAGAGGGGATTCTACACTCAAATCCTCCCTCTTTGATTACTGGAAATTACCAAGACACCCCAGTAAGCTAATGAAGAAGTCCTGACCTTTTTTCTTTAGCTTCTGAAGCCCCGCTGCGTGCAGAAATAAATGCAGGTCCTTGACCATTGGACACACCCAATTTGTCTCCTCCTGGGCACTTCCCCCAAAATTGTAATGCTGCTGCCATAGGCAGGGTTGAGGTGCTGAAACCCTCTACACAAAGCAGTGGCACTGTATTCTTGGTGCCAAGACAGTTTATATTCTGGGCAGGAAGAGAGCACACCTCCCCTCGTGTTGTAGTGTGTCATATGGGCACCAAAGCAGTATTATCTTGCATTCTAAAGCCTAACAGGCATTTTAGTCACAGTTCTTTTAGGTGTTGCTCACAATCCCCTTTCCCCCTAAGGCATTCATATATTCACAGGAAGCTGGAAAACAAACTAGGTGAGAAGCACTCTTCAGAACGTTGCTCCAGCTGATGACAGAGACACTGTTAAGAAGTTTTGCTGATATGTGTGACCCTCTCTTCCCTGGAGATGAGTTTATTTCTAATTGGCGTTTCTATCTTGAGTCCTGAATTCTAACAGACACTGGATAGTTCTACCCATCAGCCAAACCTACCAAGCTGCAACCACATTCAATGATGTATAGCTCATATCAGCTTAATATTTTATGTATGAATCAAGGTCATCATTTCAAATACCACATCCTGTATTATTTAGTAGATGGCTACTCTCAGAAGCTATTTAGGTGTGAATAGAAAATTGAATCCTGAAGTTGATTCAGCACAACTTTCCTACTGAGGGACACTTGGAATCTCCTCTGTGGAATTCCAGACTCTAGTGATGGGGACTTCACTAATACTGTACATTGAACTGTAATTTTTTTTTTCTGAAGTTGAATTGAAGTCCTCTTATGATATTTATATTCTGGTCTGAGTTTTGCCTTCTAGAGGAACACAGGATGAGCCTATTCTATGTAGTTGCTTTCAAATATTTGAAGGAAATTCTGTTTCCTTTAGTTTTCTCCTCAAAGCATTTTCTCTTCTTTCTGTGTACTCTTTTCTTTTTTTTCTTTTCTTTCCTTTTCTTTCTAAAATATGTTTTTATTGATTTCAGAGAGAAAAGGAGAGGGAGAGATAGAAACATCAGTGATGAGAGAGTCATTAATCAGCTGCCCCCTACCAGGGATCGAGCCTACAACCCTGGCATGTGCCCTGACCAGAATCGAACCATGATTCATAGGTTCATAGGTTGACACTCAACCACTGAGCACCACTGGCTGGGTTCTGTGTGCTCTTTTCAATGTTCCTCTTAATATGTGGTCCCATGAATTGAACACTGTTTCAGATTTGGTCCAATCAACAAAGAATAGAATCTCTGATTGCAATAACCTAGGAACCGTGCTTTTGTTAATGTAATAAAAAAAATATAAGCAACTCCACCTGATTGTTGGTACATATGAAACTTGTGGTCAACAAAAACCTCTTTTTTTTTTTTTTTTAAATCCTATTACACCAAGCCTAGATTTTCAGTCTTTTCAGCATCGTTGTTATCTCTACTGAACTCACATTTCCCTTATTAATTCTTGAAGGTAGACCTTGCTTTGAGATTCATGAAATGTGTTAGATATATTTCTAACATTTACCAAATGATATTCATATTAGTATATTTCAT